GAAAAACAAGATGGCGGTCCAAAAACTACTAGTTTTGCGAAGCAGAAAAAAGGAAAATATTCGCTTTGAGAAAGATAATATAGTACAAGGAAAAACTCCCAAAAAAGTTTGACAGGTTAGCAAAATACATTTATTACATAGAAATCAGATTAAATACAAGTTTTTAAAGAATTAATACGGAAACAACAGCGAAAAAAAATGTTCATTGAGAATATAAATTGTTCAGAAAAGTTTGCAACGAAAGACAAACGAATTTGCAGTCAACAAGCACTTACTATACCACCAATCATCTGTATAATATATCTGAGCTTTTCTGTGAGATATAGACCTATTGCGAAACTTAGTAACCGCGCCTTCGCAATACATGAAAACGAGGCTTATTATGCAAAAACAATAAATCCATTGTTCGCTTTGTCCGAAAGTCAAAAAGTGAGTCGCCGAGTTTTACAGCGTTTTTCTCTTGTTTTAACAAGTTTCCGGATACTTTTTTAGCTTAGTCAAATAAATTATTATCATAGTTGTTAGCATAGGTAGTTTTCTCTTCAATTTACGCGTTTTCGTGGGGTGTTTTTAATCATTTTGACGGCGCGGGCCGGTGGAAATATCATGGAAAACATCGAAGCAAACTCAGGTAAGCAAAATATTTCTTGCACAATAATTTTTTATAAAGTTTATCTCCGTTTTTCTCCACCTAAGTTAGTTTCTTTGAAACACGTGTGTCCATTTAAACCCAATTTCCGGCGCAAAATTCTCCAATTTCCGGGGTAAATATTTACGTTTTTTGCAACATAATTACAAAGGTCACAGTCATTTCACCGCCATTCTTGATCTGTTTTAAAAACTATTTTACATCGCAATTTACTTTACAAAAATGGCAATATTTTTATTACCACAATTTAAATATAAAAGGAAATCTTAGTTTGTGCGATACAGATGAAATATCTCATGGATTTGTTGGTTTATTTTCGTTGTTTTTTATACAGATGTCGTCAACAAGGAAAATTTGAAGCCGAAGGGCCAAGGCTAAGCAACATGCCTGGTTTCACATGATACCCATAATAATAATATCTGTTTATTTGTCTTTTACACAACATTTTTAATATTTTTTTTAAATGTGTAGGGAATGAGAGCAGATACCTTCTCTTAGACGATATTCCTGGCAGTAACTTAAACTTGTCTCGCCTGACTTCGTATCGTGTGGATCAATTAAAATTTTGGCTTTCTTGTCGCGGAGATTCATTAAAAAATCTACATACCAAAGCTGCCTGTATTCAAAGGTACATGGTAATATATAAATTTGAGTTTTGCTTAGTCTATATTTTTATTCAAGAAGCACAATATCTATAAAATATGTTTTCTTATCTGTAGAATCAATAACTATGTTAGAAATGGTCAGCAAGATAACCTGGTTGATCCTACTGCTCATCAAATATATGTGCAGGAAAAGGAATTGCAACAGGAGAAAGCCCAAAACACAAATACTGTCACAAATTCAAATTTGTGTCTGAAAGGTAAAATTGTCATTGTCTAATTGTCATTACATGTAATATTGCATATTGCATTGCATGTGCATTGTACCGTACTGTGTTGTATATGTGTGTATATAGGTAATATCGTATGAGTGACAAGGTGATATCAGTTTTAATGCTAGATTATGTGATAATATATCCTCTCTGGCAGTCTCTGTCTATATATGTTATGATGTGATCATGCCAAAATTAAATTCTACTGTTTTTCTATTAATTTAGATAATTATTGGAAAAGTACGAATTTCGAATGGTCGAAATCTCTTCTGGACCTCCCAACATTGACCATCAAGGAAATTGAACAATTTTTTGAAGAATCAGGCAAAACTGGGAAGACCCAAAAAAGAGCGGACAATCTTCTCTATGAAAATTTCTTGGATAGTGTTTCATGCTCGCATGACACCAACCACTCTTATGTTAGAGCAATCTGCGGTGCTTCCTACACTAAGAGCCAGTACCACCAACTAAGTTGCTCCTTGTCAAAAATAAGTGCACAAATTTTATATGCACACTGTACATGTAAAGCCGGACAAGGAGGCTTTTGTAATCACATTTACGCCCTCCTCAAGTTAATAGCACAATTCGTACTCGACAAATTAGATGAAATTCCATTGCAGCTTCCATCATCATCAAGACCCTGTGGTTGGACAGTCCCAAAGGTGAGAAATATGAATGTACAGAAAGAGACCGTGATGGAGACTATAATTAAGAAACCTAAATTGGGAAAAAATACTGGTGTAAAATGCAACCTTTATGAGGCAAGATCTTCTGAGCAACAAATATTTGATGCAAATGCAATTTTTGAAATGAAAGAAAATCTAAAAAAAGATAATCCAAAGATTCCAATGGTGGATGGTGTGCGAAGTTCGGTTTCATCTGATGCATGGTGCGAGACGAAATTTGGAAAAGTACCCATATTCTCTCCTCTTGCTTATCAATGTAGTAAGCTGGGCAATAACTTTAATGTGTATATAAATATTGACAAATGCCCTTCAAATCCAGCCACTACACCTACTACTTACCCAAACTTTCCTCACCGTAATATCCCCCAGTACTATCACCACGACGTTTCAACTCTTGATTCTTCTCAAAAAGCAGTTTTTGATAAACTTCAAGTGACAAATGAACAGGCAGTTATACTGGAGCAGACTACTCAGTTACAGTCACAAAGTTCACTTTGGTTTAAAGAAAGGAAATGCAGGGTCACAGCCTCAAAAGTTTATGATGTGTTTCATTGGAAGAGGGGAATGGACAAGCATGCAGAAAAATTTGTTAATAGTGATGTGTCGAAAGTACCTGAAATTTTGCAAAAGAAATTTGATCATGGAAAGATGTACGAGCCTGTGGCTTTGGAAAAATACCGGGTGTGTATGAGAGAAGAGATGGATCCTAGCACCGAAGTATATCCTTGTGGCTTGGTATTAAATAGAAATAATTGTTGGTTAGGCAGCAGTCCAGATGGCAAATTTGCGTCAGGAGATATGTTTGGTATAGCAGAATGCAAGTGCCCAGAGCAGTACAAACATTCAGATGTCTTTGATGTTGCATGTAGCAACGAATCCTCAAATTTCATGCTGCATGTTGAAAACAGTAAGCTGCAGCTACGAAAGACCCACCCAACATACTACCAAATACAATGTCTGTTAGCTTTGACTGGATCAGAATTTTGTGATTTGATTGTTTATACTTTTCAAAGTATTGCTATTATAAGAATTACTTTCGATACACAATTTTGGTCAAATATAACAGATGTGGTAGGTCCTAGGTATTTTCAATATATATTACCAAAATTGCAATAGAACTAATTGATAATGACAGATCAAGGAATATGTATTTACCTGACAGTCCTATAATTCAATTATTAAAATAGTTAACCAGTTGGACTTGGCCATGGTTAATTCCAATCAATTTAACTTTTCCTCAACTGATTTAACCTGTCTGGCATTAGTATTAAAATATAACAAAGTACACACGCATTGGAGCATAATCTGAATTGGGGGCAGGGGAGCTGTTTGGGGGAGGGGGTTACTAGAAAGTTTGAAAATTGCATGCTCATGCATGCAGAAAAAAATTCAAAAGTAAATATATTTAACAATTAGTTGCCGAAGGCGAGGTGATTACAAGTCTATATTCATTGAGCTGAAGGCAAAGTGAATATAGGCTTGTAATCAGCGAGCCTGAGGCGACCAATTGTTTTAGTATAATTTCAGTATTGAAAATTTTTTATTTATAAATTCAACTAATACATATCACGAACGTGCTTACTTTTTTTGGAAAAGCGATAGTTATTGCTCTGAGAAGTAAATATAGCCTCAGAGTTACTGCTGAGGGAACCAATCAGAATGTACAATTAAATTTTTCAATACTGAAATTATACAAAAATTGTATAGAAAAATAAATAAAATTGATACCTATTGTGTCACAGCAACCTCAGTAACACAATACAACCTTCCCACTCTTTTTAGACCCGTACAATAGTTAATAGTTTGGTTAACCATTACCTGTAATACCGAACACTTTTTCATTGGGGAATAAAATTCACTTGCGTTATAGGCCTATCTACATGTTAATTATTCGATCACATACGCCAAGGAAAGAATTACGAGTAATCATATGTAGATCGGCCTTTAGACAGAGCATGCAAATTAACAGAGTAGGTGCATTAGGTATTACTGTAATAGGTTAATTGGAATAATTAGATTCAGTTACTTTCCCAGTTACACTGAAATTATCGGAGTCTGGAACATTACCAAGAAAGAACATGTTGTAAATATTTGATTGGCTGATCCATGCATTGTCAGCGGTAGAGGTCTGTCAAATATATGGAAGTTCTTTACTCTGCTAATGTATCTCTCCACATGAATCCTCACTGATGCTATTCGTTGGTTGACAATGACTTGTTCTGCAGTAAATTGAGCCTTGTCCTCCAAGAATATTGGAATGTTTAATTTCACACCAATTTGATCAAGAAGATCCCTGATGGTAAAGCATTTATATGCCATCACCTCATCATCTTTATTCCAGAACTTTGGGTTAAGAATACCACATCGAGAAACAATTTCACGGTCAGAAACACTGCCTGGAAATAGTTCCGATATAAATGATAATCCACCTGCCGGGGTTATACCAATTAGGGCTTTGTATGTGTTGTGATGCTTGTAGTCCGAGTAATAAACCGATCATGTATTTAATGACTCTGGTGCCTCTACTGCTATTTCTGTACAATCAATTATTACTCTTGTATTTGGATATCTTTCCTTAAAAACCTCTGGCATCGTTTCATTAACTTCTTCTCTTGAGGGCCATATTGGCAATGTGCAAAATTTCAAATAAACATTATTAAGCCAGCTAATTAATAATCTTGTGATTGTGCTACTGTCACAGTTAAAAAGCCATCCAATGTGAATATTAGAAAAACCATTTCTAAGTTTCACCAAAAGCAGCAAAAATTGGTCTTCCGCACTCAAGCATCGTGGTCGTCCACTTCCTTTCTTTTCGGTTGACCCCCTCATCCTGACATTATCTCCATTATCTCCCACAGACAAAAACGTAAAGCATGTTTTTAATCGTTCATAATCAGGAAAGCCAGTGTAGTGTTGGCATAGCTCATTATTTTGTTTAATAATGCCCATCCCAAACGTTTTTTCTTGCATGTTCGCCTTAGTTGTGTCTAATTCCCTCTGAACCAGTATCAACTGGCATTTTGTCTCTTTGTTTTCATGCACCATTGCCTTGTAGACTTTATCAACAACAGCCAATGCACTACTCAACAAAGACTTGGGTTGGTATCTTGTACTACCAACATCACTCGTAGAACTAACTTTTGGTTTCTTCGTTGTTATTTGTGGTTAACGTTCATTCCTCATTGTAGGCGGTTTTCTTTTCATATTTAGCACTACGGGTGCTTGTCCAGCCTTTAATGGGATTGCACCGTCCTTTAATCGCCAGCGCTTGCCACCAGGTACTTTCAAAACATCCTCGGGTGAAAAATATACATTGCACACTTTCGTATTTTGTGTTACAACAAAACCATGTTTTCCCTCTTTCTTTCCCATACGATTGCACCAGGTGCTTCTCAAAAGATTTCCCAATGGCACTTTAAAAAAGTGGAACGGGGTCCGTTGACCATTCTTCGTATATGTATGGTTAACGCAATTGTAGTAGCAGCATTGAAAGCCTCGAGATCGTTGTCCATTTTTGCCCTTCGGCTTCAAATTTTCCTTGTTGACGACATCTGTATAAAAAACAACGAAAATAAACCAACAAATCCATGAGATATTTCATCTGTATCGCACAAACTAAGATTTCCTTTTATATTTAAATTGTTGTAATAGAAATATTGCCATTTTTGTAAAGTAAATTGCGATGTAAAATAGTTTTTAAAACAGATCAAAAATGGCGGTGAAATGACCGTGACCTTTGTAATTATGTTGCAAAAAACGTAAATATTTACCCCGGAAATTGGAGAATTTTGCGCCGGAAATTGGGTTTAAATGGACACACGTGTTTCAAAGAAACTAACTTAGGTGGAGAAAAACGGAGATAAACTTTATAAAAAATTATTGTGCAAAAAATGTTTTGCTTACCTGAGTTTGCTTCGATGTTTTCCATGATATTTCCACCGGCCCGCGCCGTCAAAATGATTAAAACCACTCCACAAAAACGCGTAAATTGAAGAGAAAACTACCTATGCTAACAACTATGATAATAATTTATTTGACTAAGCTAAAAAAGTGTCCGGAAACTTGTTAAAACAAGAGAAAAACGCTTTAAAACTCGGCGACTCACTTTTTGACTTTCGGACAAAGCGAACAATGGATTTATTGTTTTTGCATAATAAACCTCGTTTTCATGTAATGCGAAGGCGCGGTTAGTAAGTTTCGCAATTGGTCTATACCGGTTCTAAAACCATTTCTTTCACTTCGTATTCTTTTTATGAAACAAAATTATTTCAAATTTTCAAGGCCAAGCGGTTTTTGGCCGAACAAATTGTCAAGACATTGTAACAGAGGAAAATTAATTATTGCTTCAGTTAATGGCTATTAGACTATATTATAAAACAATTATACCATTCGCTCTCGTCGTATATGGCTGATAGCCGACTCGGTGCTACGCACCTCGTCGAGAACATATTTTATTACAAAAGTGATGGATCTTTCCCAAGTAACAAACAATAACTCTATACTGGAGATTTATTATGTAGTTGACATCATTATTACGAATTTTCACCAAAACTTTTGAATCAATATGATTAATTCCTTCTGAGACAGTAAATAAAAGTGCTGACGTCAGCATTATTTTCGAACACCTTCAGAACTGTGTTATACACAAAATTTAGTTAAAAATTCTTGTTTAAGGTTAAGACGGGATTTTTACCTGATATAAACAAGAATTTAAACATCTTAGCTCAAACTTGCTTTCATTTTAGCATTTGATTTTTGGATAAGTGCTTAGCGATAATGCTGACGTCAGCACTTTTATTATTTCAAGACGCTGAAACTCAGGAGGAATTAATCATATTGTATCAAAATGTTTAGTGAACACCCATGATAATGATATAAACAACATATAAAACTTTCAACTTTGAATTATTGTTTGTTACTCACCGTCAAAATAAAAAAGATCCGGCCATCACTTTTGTAATAAATATGTTGTCAGACGACCATGTTTATAAACAGTCGCATGGCTACCATCGGAAAATATCGTGATGTTCCGGTATATTCCGGGAAACTGTCCGCCATATTCCATGATATTCCGGCATATTCCGTGATTCCGGCATATTCCGTGATATTCCGGCATATTCCGTGATATTCCGGCATTTCGTTGTACTTAGAAATATTGCAATCTTTCAACTATTTTGCCATTTTGTACAAAAATTAAAAATACAAAAATGTTTTTAAAAAAAATTTAAATCAAAATTAATTTTAAAATTTTAAAATTATCGTGTTGACATGCCCTTGAACGCAAGTCTGCGCTCAGTGTTTGCCATTTCCGAATATTTCATGTTAATTCAATGTTTGGAAAATGTAGGCGAGGGGTTTAAACACGTTCCAAAGCTAAGTGAAATATTCTATTTAGTCCATTTACCAACAAATATTCAATAAAACTGCATTCCCCGCTCGAAATTTCACTAAAATGTTGATAAAATTAAAATATAGTTGGGTTAATCATGTAGTGTCCCAGTACATAATAGTTGCGTGTAAGGCACTGTCGCGTTTACTAATATTCAGTATGGTATACTATTACTAGATTTAGTCCCCCCCCCCCCACCTTTCACCCACCTCCACCCCCGTACACATCTATTCTTGGCACTGCAGATGCAGCGCCAACTTATTAGATATTCTTCATGCAAGCGTTGAGTTTGGCACTGCAATTGCAGCGCCAACTTGTTAGATATTCTGGAGCCAACCTTTGAGTTTGGCAGTTGCGGCGCCAACGTGTTATATATTCTGCAGCCAACCTTTGAGTTTGGCTCTGCAATTGCAGCGCCAACTTGTTAGATATTCTGCAGCCAACCTTTGAGTTTGGCACTGCAATTGACCATTTGCGAAATAGACTAAATTTTTATCTAAACAAGTCTAGACAAAAATTTCATCAAAGCTTGAAAGAGCATCACAAAATTAGTAATATTCCAAAGTTTCGTTGCGAAATGTTGTAAAATGACGATAATATAGCCTTGCGAAGTTTGCAATTTTCAGTCGTTTTAGATTACAAACGGGAAATTGACAGCCCCAAAGGGTATTGGGCTGTCAAT